CCCCAGCCCAGGGGACTAGGGACTGAGGGAAGCTGCAAGGGTGGAATTCCTGAGATTGGCTGTCTCTTGTTCTTCGTGTTCCTTTAAACCTTTTTTTAAAGGGGCGAAAGGGGAAGTTTTTCTCAGAGACAGTCACAGCCAGGCATCATCCCTGCTGGCTTCCGACCTCATCCCTCCCCCAACCCTCCGGGGTGGAAATTCCTGATCTATCCCGAGGTCCAGGCCTGGTGACATTCCAGACCAGAAGCCGGAAGACGGCCGACAGCCACAGCCCCCAAAGAGCTGCCCCTGATTTGCTGGCTCTGCCTATAAGTGACACTCACGGAGAGCGGCCCGCACGTCCCCACCTCGCTGGAAGCCACCATCGCCTGTGTGTGCAGTAGCCTTCCTTGTCTCCCTGCTTCTACACTGCCCGACCCCAATCCCAGGACCTTTTCCCAGGCAGCAGCCAGTCTGCTCTTATCTACTCCGCCCGCAGGGTGAAAGCCCCAGGGTCCTCACGGGGGGCCCTCCTCTTGTCTTCTACCCCTGGTGGGCTTTCCCCTTCTCACTCTTCCTCCAGCCCCCTCAGCCCCTGCTCAAGGCCTTTGCACCAGCACGTCCCTGTGTCTAGAAGGTTCCTCCTCCTGGAACTGTCCGTGGTTCACTCTCCCATCCTTAAGGTTTTCGCTCAAATGTCACCTTTTGGGGAGGCCAACCTTGCAAGCCTCTCATCTCTCTACCACGCCCTCTCACCTGTGGCTTGCTTTCCATAGGGCCCCTTCTGATCATGTTCCAGCACTCCATGTTGTCTGTTTATTGTGTTCAGTGTCTGCCTCTTGCCACTATAATGTAAGTTCCTCGAGGACAGTATTCTGTCTATTTTGTTTGCCAGTATATCCCTCTCGAGCTCTTAGGCGTTTCATAAATATTTGTTGAATGGATGCCTCTGTCCTCCCAGTTAGTCTGAGCCAGCTGGGCTGTGGGGTCCACAGCTTCTCTGAGCAGCATCCTGCCTTCCTGTGCTCCCCACCATTAGTTAGTGACGGTCTCACTCCCCAGCACCCAGGCCAAACCCTCATGTCGTAAGCTGGGCTTCTCCACCGGTTCTGCCCTAGACCCCCTTCTGCCCATACCCGTCTTGTCTGGGCCCAGTTCCCTCCCCGCCCAGAGCCTTGCTTCACTCGATGGATTCATCTCCCCCTGTCCTGCCGTGGGTTCCCGCTGGGCTCTGGGCGGCCATGAGAGCCTGTGCTACTTCTCCCTGTCCTCCCTGATACCTGAGCTCCGGCTGAGAGGTATTCCCAATATTAGAGCAAACCAGAGGCTAGCAGTGGCTAGTGAAGGGAAAACAGAATTTATTCAGAAATTATTGCATTAGGGGGAAGAGACCTCAGTTTAGAGCGGAGCTCAGGTCTGAATCTAACAAGAACAAGTTGCAGAACGGGGGTGGTGGGGAACTTTCCCTGGTGGCCAGAGGGTAAGACTCCGCACTCCCAGTGCAGGGGGCCCACGTTCGATCCCTGCTCGGGGAACTAGATCCCACATGCATGCCACAACCAAGAAGCCTGCATGCTGCAACTAAGAAGTCTGCATTGCCACAACTAAAAAAACAAGAAGGAAAAAAAAAAGATCCCGCATGCTGCAACTAAGACCCAGCGTGGCCAAAATAAATAATAAGTGAATGAATAAAAAAAAAGAACAAGTGGGGATTTATAGCGGAGGAGCAGGTCGGGGGTTCCGTGGATGGAAAATTACTAACAGGAAACAACAATGGTCACGGGGTGGAGAGTGGACTCTGGTTAAGCAGAACAGGATTCTTGCTGAAGGCAAGCAGGGTGATCAGATACCAAAAATGGGGGATGAAGGATGTGGCCAGCTGTCGAGGTGATCGCATATCAAGGGTGGTCAGGTACCAATGATGGGGGGGTTCTCTCTAAGTTGACTTAGCAGGATTCCCGCTGAAACTGAGCAACACAGGCCCACCAAGGTTGGATACTGAAGTCCAAGGTCAAAGCCTAGTTGAGAAGAAGGCTTAGAGGAGCCTGACTGTGGTTTGGCCAATGGGAGGGGCTTCATCCCCACCTCGGGGAGCAGAACCCTCTGCTGGCACCGCTCGCACCTACGTTACGTGATCCGGCTGCAGGGCCTGGTCCACGCCTACTGCCCTGCCTTTAACAGCCCAGACCAGTCAAGACACAGCAAGAACGGCCTGCAGGCGTGAGGACCTTGCTTCCACCCAGCCCTAGCTGTCCACTCCCCACAGCCTCCACATAACGCTGTGAGTGACGGGGTGGGACAGAGCAGAGCCCGACTGCTGGGGAGCCAGAATGCCAGCCCAGGGCAAGCCCAGGTGCCTCGAGAAACACTCAATCACTGAGAGACTTGCCAGTTCTTCGTGGCCCCAGATGAAATCCCAGGGGCCACCTCAGGTCCCCAGCCCCTGTGGCCACCTTCAGTTCTGATCCTGGCTTGGAGACAATTACCTCAGGCTGTTTTGCCCACAGATTGTGAGGAAGGAACAAGAGGCTTTTAGCCCGGGGATGGAAACAACCTAAGTGTCCATCATCGGATGAATGGATAAAGAAGATGTGGCACATATATACAATGGAATATTACTCAGCCATAAAAAGAAACGAAATTGAGCTATTTGTAATGAGGTGGATAGACCTAGAGTCTGTCATACAGAGTGAAGTAAGTCAGAAAGAGAAAGACAAATACCGTATGCTAACACATATATATGGAATCTAAGAAAAAAAAAATGTCATGAAGAACCTAGGGGTAAGACAGGAATAAAGACACAGACCTACTAGAGAATGGACTTGAGGACATGGGGAGGGAGAAGGGTAAGCTGGGAAGAAGTGAGAGAGAGGCATGGACATATATACACTACCAAACGTAAGGTAGATAGCTAGTGGGAAGCAGCCGCATAGCACAGGGAGATCAGCTCGGTGCTTTGTGACCGCCTGGAGGGGTGGGATAGGGAGGGTGGGAGGGAGGGTGACGCAAGAGGGAAGAGATATGGGGATATATGTATATGTATAACTGATTCACTTTGTTATAAAGCAAAAACTAACACACCAGTGTAAAGCAATTATACTCTAATAAAGATGTAAAATAATAATAATAAAAAGAGGCTTTAAACTCAGTAAGCTTAGCTGCTGCAACTCTCATTTTTATTTAGGAAAGAAATGGATTAAGAATTCAAGACTCCATCTCATCTGTTGATCTGTCTCTGCCCTCTGATTCATTCCAAAGACGGGGCTGGTCTATGAGCCAAGCTGGATATTTTCACACTAGGTCCCAGGTTCTTAATGGGTCTCTTCTGATAACGGCCCCACTGAGAGAGCCACATGGGGGGCATGGCCTACAAGTAGGCAGATTCCTAGGTTAAGTGGCATGTGCTGTGAGCTGTCTGAGGTTCCACGGTTTTAGCTTATTCCTTTCCTGTTTACCAGTCAGATCCCAGTCCTGTCTGGGCCCTAACCCCACACCCTCTACCCCTGCATCGCATCTGTCTAGAATTGACCTGCTATGTCCAGTCCTGCCTTCAATTTCTGACCTTTACCCCATAAGCCCAAGGATTACTTCCCCTCCTTAATATGCCTTCTTCTTAAATGTTCCCAAGGAAATGCCTACCCCACCCCAAAGAAGCAAGAAGGAGGAACCAGGGGGGTCTTTTTACAGCTTCCTTCAAGTTCAGAACTGTCAAGGACACCCGAGCCCACGAGCCACGAATTCCACAGCCATCGGAAATGCTGAGTGTGTATAGAAGGTGAGGAGAGAAATGGGGTTTCATATGCTCCCACTCCTAAGAATTCCCAGAGAAAAAAAATGTTTGTAAATGCCAAAAACATGATAGGACTGTCCATGAAATCAGCTATGAGAGTTGTGAAACATAAGTCATGGTTCTGTTTGTTCTGAAATTTCTTGTTATATCCTCACATGGAGGATGGGCCTAGGGACCTTGCTGGAGTCTCTTTTATAAGGCACTAATTCCATGGCTTAAGCTCCCCCCCACTAATACTATCACAGCAGGCATTAGTATTTCACATTTGAATTGTAGGGACTCACAAATATTCAGACCATAGCACTAGGTCATAAAAAGGATATCTTCACCTGGTGCACTCTCTCTTTCTCTCTTGGATAGCTCAGTCTGGTGAAGGCCAGCCACCATGTCATGAGGACACACGATCAGCCCTTTGAGAGGTCCGCACGTGGCCAAGTCCATGTGGACAGGAACCAATGCACCAGCACCAACTTGCTGGCCATGTGAGTGGATCCTCCAGCCTCAATCAAGCCTTCAGGTGATTCCAGCCCCCAAACCTGCAAGTCTTCCAGCTGAGGCTCCAGACATCGATCGTAGGACTGTGTCCTGTCTAAATCCTCCCTCACTCCCATGTCCTGTCTGAATTCCTGATCCACAGAAACTGTGAGATGATAAATGATTATTGTTGTTTTAAGCCTCTAAGTTTTGGGGGTGGTTTGTTATGCAGCATTAGAACTCTAATACACGTGGCTTCACCTAATCTCAAGAGGATGGGGAAATCTAAGGGTCCCACTGGCCTAGAGATGGGAGAAGCTAGTTATAGGCAAGTATCCTGATCTTACTGGAAGAACTTATCAATGAGCAGTTTTCAGACAAAAACCAGGACTCACACTCCTTCCTTTGATGGTTCATAGATAGTTGTCATCTGAAAAATCAAGGGATTGCTCCCGTCCTAAGGTACCACCAGGAATAATATCCAAGTTCATAGATGTGCAGCAATAACACATTAGAAATTTTTAAATGCCATTGCTGAAAAACGTCCAGATTTCAGAAATATTAAAGCGCAAAAGAATAAGCATCTTGGAATTAATGGAAATGGCATATCACTGTGTTTTCAGTCACATGCTCTCTTATTTCTGCCTGTGTTGTAGTTATTTGCCTTTATCTGGGAGATCTGAGGTGGTAGGTTTGGAGATAAAAAGAGAACATCAGTAGAAAGTCTTCATATTCAAAGCAAAGCACGTTGTCTTAGTCCATTCAGGCTGCTATTTAATAATTATTTTTAAAATCCATAGTTCCTATGTTTAAAGCAGTTCAGTGATCTCTTTATTGATGCCATTCTCTTTGACATAACACAATTAAAGTTTTCTGGGATCCAGAACAGATAACTCTGCATTTATATATCAAATTAAAAGGTAGACTGTATTTTTGTGATGACCATAACCCATCCATTGCATTTCTTTGTATTTTATTTGGTTGAGAGGAAATCAGTTCCTGAAATAATTTTGTCTCCCAATATCCAGTCTTCTTTACTTTCTTAGTGTTAAGAACCCCAATTTTTAACTGAGACATTGCTACCCTGCTACTCTCCCTTAAAGCTAGGTCATAGCTACACGACTAAATTTTGGCCAGTTAGATATAAGAAAAAGTGTTTTGTAACTTCTAGAAAGTGTCTTTAGAAGGATGGTGCAGAGGCTTCTTTCCCCTTCTCTTCTTCCTGTTGGCTGGAGTGTGAATGTGATGACAGGAGCACTAACAGCCATCTTGGGTCATGAGGTAGTACAGTACTCATGGCAGAGTAGAAGAAAATGAGCCTGTGGCCTACAGAGTTGCCACATAGGCCTGGATTGTGTACCTCCAGATTTCTTTTACATAAGAAAAAAAAAATCTCTACCTTTTTAAAGCCACTGTTATTTGCTGAGTTGTTATTACATTAGACAAACCTACCCCTAATTAATAAAGGGGAACAGCCAAACTTCTTTTTCTATCAGCCATGGACTATTTCTCAGCTTCTAAAAACAAGTGCATTCTCAAAAGCTGCCCAACTCCTGAAGCACAATAAGGCATGCTGCCCAAAACGCTAATCTGGGTTTAGAATTAAAGACATAAAATGATTTCACTGAGGCGAATTCAGTGTACACAGTAACAAAGTTTGTAAGCCAGATGGATAATTTTGATTTACTCATATTATTTTCAAAATCAAATCAAGGCATCAATATTAGCTTGAGTAAACAGCAAATCCCCATCCCTAGCTGATGGTCCATTAGGACTAGCGTTATTGATTCAAAATGGCTGAGTTTTTGTTTAAACTGGCCCTCTGCTGGTCACTGTGACCACACCACAGTCGACAGCACATCCAATGGTATAATCTGCTTTGCAACTCTCTATTCCAGAGCCCATAGATCAGAGGGTTAAAACACTGGGCAAATGCAAAGACTCCAAAAAGCACCAGATTTAAAGCAAAGAAAAACACTCCACACATCTTTCCCAAACCTACGAATAACAAGGTTGATATCACATGTAAGCCAAACTGCACTAAATGAATAAGGACTGTTTTCCTTGCTTTGATATTTGACCTATTAAAATGGCCAGCCAGTTTCCCTTCTTTGTATATCAGAGAGTATCTTAGAATGATAGACAGAAGAAAGAAAAGGAAAACCATGCCAGTGGCTCTGGCAGGAATGCCATTCAAGACCACTGGGCGAAGGGGTTCGGATTTTAAAACAGCCCCCTGAGTAGAGCTAGTGCCCTCTATGAGCAATAAGCAAGCATTCTTCACTATAATAATTATCCAAGTCCCAGCCGGAATCCTATACTTAACTGAATCTACAAAAGACAGAGATATCAAGGGCCAGCAAATTGCTAGGTAGGTGTTGACAGCCATCAAGCCCAGAGCGAAGAGAATCCCTTCTCCAACACTTCGCTGTGCCCCAAACACCACCCAGCACGGGGCTGTTGGCCAAGAGGGCCCACATCCCTTGGAAAACCACCCCCAGACCACAGGATGACATGCACAGCAGATGGTGGCAAAGGAGGATGTATCGGACCTCTTTCCTCAGTTTTGAATTCTGTGACACGATTGTGATAATGATGACATGTAGCAAAGGAGAAAGCCACCACATATACAGAAGCCTTCACTGTTGCTTCCAGCCTCAGCCAATCTGATGTGCTGCAGTGCTCGGAAGACAAGTTCATGATCTTTGGGGAAACTTGGATCCTGCAGGAGGAAAGAATGAGAAAGGATGAATCTGTGTGAAAGCTTCTTGTGTGGCTTTCTGACCCTCTGACCTTGTGTACAGTCTCAAGGAACAGATTGCACGTTTTTCGGTATAGACGATGACACGTTTAGAGAGTGTTGACATGGATCAGGGAAACTGGAGGAATCATCTGGAGTTCTCTCTTCACTTCAGGGGAGGGACATTGTGATATTAAGATTTATAATAAGAAATATATATATGGTCTTTGCTCCATTTCTGGCACAAAGCTAAAACTCTTGGAACTTCCTAAGTGAGGAGAGTGACAACCGTCTTTTGTTATGTTAATGAGGTGACTTTTGGAAAGCCCCTCGGTCACCTAAGGATGGGGACTGGTTGTCAGGGGCCCCAGCCTTGTGATTAGATGGTTGGAACTTTCAGTCCCACCCCCCTCCTTGAGCCTCCAGGGAGGGAAGAGGGGCTGGAGGTTGAACCAGTCATTAATGGCTAATGATTTAATCAGCCATGGCTGTGTAATGAAGCCTCCATAAAAACCCAAAGGACAAGGTTGGGAGAGCTTCCAGGTTGGTGAACACGTGGAGATTTAGGGGTAGTGGCTCGCCTGGAGAGGGCATGGAAGCTTCGTGGCCCCTCCCCGTACCCTGCCCTATGCATTTCTTTCTTTTTTTTTTTTTTTTTTTTGCAGTACGCAGGCCTCTCACTGCTGTGGCCTCTCCCGTTGCGGAGCACAGGTTCCGGACGCGCAGGCTCAGCGGCCATGGCTCACGGGCCCAGCCGCTCCACGGCATGTGGGATCTTCCCGAATCAGGGCACGAACCCGTGTCCCCTGCATCGACAGGTGGACTCTCAACCGCTGCACCACCAGGGAAGCCTGCCCTATGCATTTCTGAGTTATATCCTTTTATAATAAACTGGGAGCTTAGTAAGTAAAATGTTTCTATGAATTCTGTGAGCCCCTCTAGCAAATTACTCAAACCCAAAGAGGGTGCAGGTCAGAAACACAGATGACCACATGTACTTGCAGTTGGGGTCTGGCGTGGTGGCAGGGGGATAGTCTTGTAGGACTGAGCCCTTAACCTGTGGGATTTGACACTATCTCTAGACATATAGTATCAGAACCGAGTTGAATTGTAGGACACCCAGCTGGTGTTGGAGCATTGCTTTGGTTGTGGTGGGCGGACTCCCCCCCGCCAGAATTGGAATCAGAACTTTAGACATATGCTCAGACCGTTTAAAAGGAGTGTTTGAAAGATATACTCTCAGTACTCAGCAAATTGCTCAAAAGCAGGTCAAAGTTTTACTCCTTAGGCATCATTTTCTGTCTTTGATTGTGAGAACTTCTGCTCAATTCGGAGCACAAAGCACAGCATGGTGAAAGTCAATTGATTAGCCATCAAACCCGTGTTAACACTTAATGCACGCAGAGCTCTGAGGAAGAAGTTAGGGCCAAAGCTGTGAGGAGTGGGGGGAACTCCTTGATGCAAAGACTTGAATTCATCTGGGTCCCTAAGACATGAAAGGGAGACTAACAATAACGACGGCAATCGACGTTGACATTTACCAAGTACTTCCCAGGGATCAAAAACTGTGCTCAGAGCATACTCCTCACTAAGCCTGGAGTATGTTTTATTTTCCACCACGGGGTTTGTTGCGCACTTTTCACAAATGGTGAACCCGAGACTTAGAGAGGATAAGTCATAGCCCACTCAAGGCCGTACGATCATTGCCCAGTGGGACCAAGATTTGGATTTAGGCGTACAGCGCCAGAGCCCGCTCTCTCAACAACTACGAGGAGGAAATGCAAGGCCAAATGGATGCGTTCTCCCAGCTCTTCTTTAACCAGTATCGTTTGTCCGACCAACTGGACCCCATTGGTAGGAAAATTGTTTCTGTTGGTAAGGAGCTGGAAGACGGACAGCCCAGGAAGTTGCTGGGATCTCGGGATTGCTGAGGGATGGGGTCCACTGAAATGGTAAGACGTGCACGGGGAATGGCACACTGTGTGGCAGCCTGGGGAGCCGCTGATTACACCGTCATTGCTGTCTCTGGGCCAGTCTACTGTAGAGGTACCGACTGTTGCCTCCCCGCCTGCAGTGCTCTCCAGGGGTGGACCCCACCATCGCCTCGCTTCCTTGCTTCCTTACGACCTCCTCCTCCATCAAAGTTGCCTGGGCTGGGAGAAGTCTGCCTCATGGAAAATCGTTCTGCAGGCTGTGCTGCGTCCATCAGTGTGTGTCTCTTAAAAAATCCAACCATGGGATTCTCAGAGAACGTATTCCCAGCGTGATGGCATGTAATCGACCTGTCAGCCACGTCGGAGTGTAGATGAGAGGAAGAAAGAGACAGAGAGTGGCTGGAGAGGAGCAAAGAGAAGCAGGGACCGTGGAAGCCCTTGCAAGACAGAGAGCAACCTGGGTTCCTGGACTTCTGATTCCACCAAGATGCCCTGCATTTTCTGTCCTTGGGTTCTAAAAATATCACACCCTCCTCTACTATTTGAGCTAGTTTAAACAGGTTTCTATTCGTTTATTCTGGCTCCTAGAGATGAAAGTATATAAAATGGACCCTGAAGAAGCACACTAAGTGCTACTGCTTTCCTAAAGGGCAAACCACAATGGAGGTACGACGATGCCACGCCCTGAGAACTGAAAATGCCGAAACTCCTTATGAAATCCCTTGCTGAAGGCACAATTTTTTTCCTACATATTGTGTTGTCACCCTTTGTGGAGAATTTTCCCTGTTCTGATGGATTTTTGTGCATGGTCACGCTGTTGAACTCCAGGCTTTTATTCTCTCTACTCTCCAGCTCTTCAGAGAGGAATAGAAATTGTAATGGTCACTGTCATTGTCAGGCTTTCTTTTAGCTGCAGGTTTTTCAGTCAAACTCTTACTAGAACCCCTCAGTAATAAACAGGAAAAGGCACATCTGCCGGCATTACACGCCTCCTCCTTAACCTGTTGCTCCCAGAGCACACGGCTGTAACCGCCCTCAGGGCGCCACCCTAGAAATGGAGGGCTCCCATAGGGACTGCATGAAGACCCTGATAAGTGGGAACAAACACTCTGCCTCTGGACTGGAGAATCACATGAACTGGGCTCTAAGCCTAGATTTGCTGCCAAAGAGGAATATGACTTCGGGTACTTAAATCACTTTGCTTCTCTGCTCCTTTGTTCCTTACATCACGCCCATGCAGCCTTGCCAAACTCCTTATCCCTCCTTTAACTCAGGCCTGGAATATCTGGGCTTTTACCTGATTCTTGAGGACAAGATTACCCCACTCCTGCCCCAGAACGTTCTCATCTATTCCCCGTCTGACTAACGTGAATAGAACTCCTGGCTCTCCAGGACAGGGCCCGCCTTGCGTAGCAGTATTTGATAGGAACTCTGCAGAGCCGGCAGCCCACAAAGGAGAAATTTGCACAATGAAGACTTTGCAACCATAGCAAATACTTAGAACACTTTCTGTACATCTGAAATCTCCAGGAGGGTTGCAACGCTGCAAAATCAATGAGGGCAAGTAGTGTTGCCTTTCATTAATTTATGAGACCTCAAGAAAATCAGTCATTTATTCTGGATCATGCAGCCAGAAAGAACATCCCAGTCTCCAAATTCATATTCCTTCGTGGACATATAGTTGCATATCAAGAGCTCATGGCAACCAAACCCGTATAATAAGCCCTCATCTATACATATTACCTCCACTTAGAGTCTTTTCCTTCTGGAATTCTAAAATGGGGAATAATGTTTCCTTCTAGCCCAAAATGTTACCTTGGCTTCAGGATATTTTTTTTTTTTTTTTTTCTGGTACGTGGGCCTCTCACTGTTGTGGCCTCTCCCGCTGCGGAGCACAGGCTCCAGACGCGCAGGCTCAGCGGCCATGGCTCACGGGCCCAGCCGCTCCGCGGCACGTGGGATCTTCCCGGCCCGGGGCACAAACCCGTGTCCCCTGCATTGGCAGGCGGACGGACTCTCAACGACTGCGCCACCAGGGAAGCCCTGGCTTCAGTTTCGAAGTAAAATCTTGAAGCTTTAGAGATTTATGCAAAGAATTACATTATACCCACAATTTCCCTGGAAAAAAAAATCAGAATCAGCCACTCCCTACACAAATCTTGTAAGAAGCAGAGGTGTGGGAGGCTGGAATGGGTACATACAAGACAGCGAAGCACCTGGGTGTCGTCCTAAGTGCCCTGCTGGGGACCAACCAGCAGGCTGCCCACAGTGAGAGACTGAAGCTACAAAAGGATTTGGCCAGACCATATATAAAAATAGAACTCTCACCTGCAACCTGCAGCAACGTGCCCAGGAAACCAAGCCCTTAGCTACAGTAACCAGCCCAGGAAGGCAGCCTGCGCTACGTCAGACCTGGGGGAAGTCGGATTGCTGTCTCTACTGACAATGCAGGAAGGCAAACAACACCTGTAACAAAACAGCCAGGACATGAATAGCTGACAACTTCCCCAACTTTTGCCCCTGCTTCCAACTTAAGACCAACCAGAAGAATCAAATATGCACCCCTAACCGATCATAGGCCACCCCACTTCCTATTGGCCACCTCCAGCTTCCCCAGGCCCACAGTCCCCCATCTAAGCTTACCTGAAACCCTCCCTTTTTTCCATCAGAAAGCTTTCCCGCTCCCCTGCCAGTGAGTTTCCTCCAAACTGCAAGTGATGTTGGCTGATTCCCTTGTTCTAGCAAGTTCTGAATAGATGGCCTTTGCTTTTCTCCTGTGGTTGGTCTTTGTTTATCTCCACATGGGTCTGAAAAAATAGTCCTAGTGGCCCTGAAACAGGACATGCACTTGGAGACGTTTCTCCAGGAAGCTAATAAACTTGGGGCAGCCCATGCTTCCTCTCTCTCCTCTGCCCCTTCCGGTCAGCAGCAGGGGCATGGTGGGCAGCTTGGGCCAAGTGAGACAGATTCCCTTCATGGAGGGGCAGCTGCTGCCTTGGCCTTATTGTGAGCTCTGGGTCACTGAGCTGGGGGTATTTCTCCCTTCTCTCACCTCTGAGGGTCCCCAAGGTAACCATTCCTGAATGGACACCACACTTGAGGAGAAAATCAAAGGAGCACTGGACGTGTACAATGTGAGTGACGGGCCTGGAAGGGAGCATTAGAAAATGATATTTTGTTACGACAGATAACGTGTTGATGGTTCACTGTGAATGAGGCCGACTGCTTTCATATGCACAACGAGATTATTAAGTAGACGCTATCATTATTCCCACTTTTCAGTAAAGAAAACTGAGGGGTAGAGGAAGGAAGTAACTCTCGGGGTTAATTAGCCCATGACAGTGATGCTGGAATTTGGACAGCGCAGTCCAACTCTAGGGCTCACTCCCTAAACCACTGGGCCAGGGCCCTCAGTCAGTGAAGGTTGATATTTAAAGGTTGTAAAGGGGTCCTCACACTTCTTCTCAGGGAGTTGCTGGTTAACGGTGAAGTCTGAATCATAACTCAGTTGTTATGATTTCTGAGATAACATTTTGTTATTATTTGTTGAGTTAGGAAAAAACTCGATTATATTGTAGCCGTATTAGAGTACCATATTGATGCATATGAATTGAATTCTTTTTTTTTTTTTTTTTTTGGCAGTACACGGGCCTCTCACTGTTGTGGCCTCTCCCGTTGCGGAGCACAGGCTCCGGACACGCAGGCTCAGCGGCCATGGCTCACGGGCCCAGCTGCTCCGCGGCATGTGGGATCTTCCCGGACCAGGGCATGAACCCGTGTCCCCTGCATCAGCAGGTGGACTCTCAACCACTGTGCCACCAGAGAAGCCCCGAATTGAATTCTTTTTTTAAAAAAAGGAAAAACTATTTTAAAGGCTGAGCAGGTGTTAGGGTCTGCGTTTGTGTCCCCTCCACCACCAAATTCAGATGTTGAAGCCTTAACCCCCAGAACCTCAAAATGTGACTGTATTTGGAGACAGGGTCTTGAAAGAGGCAATTAAGTTAAAATGAGAACATTAGGGAGGCCCTTATCCAATCTGACTGGTGCCCTGTGTCCTTGTAACAGAGGAGATTAGGACACAGAGAGAGAGAGAGACCCTAGATGTGTGTACGTTCAGAGGAAAGGCCATGTAAAGAAGCAGCAAGAGGCCTACCATCTGCCAAGTGGTTGCTGGCAGAAGGCCAGTGAGAAAAGTGGATACTTCCAGAATGGCCCCTAAAACCCTTCCCAAATGATCAGACCCTCTCCTCTCACAATAAACATGCCACCTTCTCTTTAAACATGTCTAATTGTGGCCTTACTTCTTTAGCACTTTACAAATCACTCCAGTCTGTGAAGCTTCTGTGATCACCTCTGTTATTCTCCTCCAAGTGGGCAGGAAGGAAGGGAGGGAACTGGTGTTTACTGAACGCCAGGTACTTGACATCAAGAATGAGCACTTACTAAATATTAGCTGTGAGTGTTAACCATCTGGAAAGAGCTCCCAGGGGTGATGCGGAGAACCGGGTAAAATCCTCTGAAGGTATATCCTGTGACTTCTGAAGACAGAAAAATTACATATTTTGCTAGTGAGTGCTTTCCCAGGCAGTTAACCTGCTCTTTTTTATAAAAAGGGGAAATCGTCAGGCTTCCTTCCCCAATTTTTTTCTGATCAAAACTTTGACCTACAGACATTCTTCTAAGCACTCTTAGGATTCCTTAATCTAAAGACACACTACCTTGCTTTAATGAAACATGGCCCTTTCTTAACGCTCAGAAACACTTCTTAAAAAACAATGTGCACCACACACCTACGGTTAATTAATCTTCGACAAAGAGGAAAGAACGTACGATGGAGAAAAGACAGTCTCTTCAGCAAGTAGCGTTTGGAAAGCTGGACAGCTGCATGTAAATCAGTGAAGTTAGAGCACTCCCTCACACCATACACAAAAATAAACTCAAAATGGCTTAAAGACTTAAATATAAGTCATGACACCATAAAACTCCTAGAAGGGAACATAGGCAAACAATCTCTGACAGAAATCATAGCAATACTGTCTTAGGTCAGTCTCCCAAGGCAAAAGAAATAAAAGCAAAGTTAAACAAATGGGACCTAAGCAAACTTATAAGCTTTTGCACAGCAAAAGAAACCATCAACAGAACAAAAAGACAACTCTCAAAATGGGAGAAAATACTTGCAAACGATGTAGAAACCAAACTTATGGTTACCAAGCTCTTAAATCCATGAGCTGGGGATACTCATTAACCAACACAGGCCAAGGCTCTGGTGTCAAAGAGCTTACACAATCGGGCTTCCCTGGTGGCGCAGCGGTTAAGAGTCTGCCTGCCGATGCAGGGGACGCGGGTTCGTGCCCCGGTCCGGGAAGATCTCACATGCCGCGGAGCGGCTGGGCCCGTGAGCCATGGCCGCTGAACCTGCACATCCGGAGCCTGTGCTCCGCAACAGGAGAGGCCACAGCAGTGAGAGGCCCGCGTACCGCAGGAAAAAAAAAAAAAAAGAGCTTACACAATCCTGAATCTTCTGACAGTTACCTGGCAGGTAGTAAACAGATGGCCTTTCTCCCTTCCTGCCCTATTTCTCCAGATGCCAAAGATCAGTATGATGTCTATAAACCACAAAAAGCAAACAGCAATCTATATGTTGCTGAGAAAATGATTCTCAATATTATTTCTCAGAATCTGAGAGGATTTTGTCTTTGGTCTATTAGTTTCTAACAAAAGTTCACTTTGTAGCATTTACTTTTGAAATGTGCTGAAGCTATTTTAATATTACGTTGTTGCAATTATTAAGCTAGCTGAAAGTTAATTTACCTGTATATGATTTTAGCATTATTAAAGCTTATAAAATAACACAAAACAGCCAAGATGGTGAGTTTTGTGCTTTGCTACTATGCAATCCTCTACTCCATAGTCAGTGGTTTCCTTTCACGCACGGTTAAAATAGTTGCCCCATCCTATCCTAAGGGGCAAGACACACCCTTTCTGTCTCAGTCGACCACGCCTGGCTTTAGCAGTACACTGGATGCTTTCTCAGCACAACCTTGGCAAAGTTGAAATCAGCAGATTCCATGAAGCGCTTTGGTTTTCTCTCTGACTCAGCATTAGGATTACCATAAACTTTCTATCAGGTTGAATTTCACTTCCCCAAATTAAAGTACAATTTAATTATAGCTATTCTTACTAACCTTTTTTATCTGATGTGACTGGTTTTATTGATGAAAAAGACCTCCCCAAGTTTTGAAATCTACATATAATATACATCGCTTGGTTAAGTATCCCTACCTTTATTAGGTATCTGCGCCATTCATATTATACATGTCACACAAAATCAACTCTCTAGGCCTAAAAACTATGATTTTAAACAAATCTTATAAGTGAAAGTGAAAATTCATGGAACACCTTAACCTTTTGACTGCTCTGAGAACTTGTACTTAGCACATCATTGATTATTAACTTGAATTTTTACTCAATTATTGTATAATTGATTTCTCTAAATTGTCAGAACCTATATATTTATAAAGTCCCTTTTGCAGGGATATAAGCCCATCTATCACAGCAAAGTTTCTATTACCATCTGAATGGACTTGCATTTGTCCATAGCAAAGTGCACTTATACCAAGTTATTAAATTCATGGTTATTTTCATTAGCATTTATATTTGCCTTTTAGAATTGGCATAGAATTTTGAATCACATTTATAGAGCAAATGGCTATTTCAATATTTATCCTTGTAATTATCTTAAAATATGACCATATATTTATCTTTTTATTTAAGGGACTTATTCCCAAGCAGAAAATATATTATTGTCATTAATGTTACCTCTGCAAACATTATTTGTAACTGTATTTTGTATTTTTCAAAAG